CAGAATCCAGATAACACGATCACATTGAAAGCCAGAAACTCTCACAGTGCCCAGAAAGCAACACTGCACCAATGTTACACCAATGGAGAATTGAAACACAGAAACCGAATGTCAATGAGAATTTACTCTCGTCATCACCAACATAAGAGTCCAGGCCCTTCCCCCTGCTCGGCGCTCGGCGTCCAGACTACTCCCCACACAGCTACTATCTGCCTATGGATTGACAATGCAACTGTTGACGTCAGCAGCCACCAAAGTACATGAAGATGTCGCCCAATTCAAACCATCGCCAATACCAGGTATCAGCCCTGACATCATCATCCCTATCTCTCTCTCTCTCTCTCTCTCTCTCTCTCTCTCTCTCTCTCTCTCTCTCCACCCCCCCCCTCGTCTTTCTCCCTTGTCTTCCCTCTATGCACCCGAAGACCACCACTGCGCCTTGCTGTTTCTCCAAGCCCAGGCAGCTATGGAAGCTGGGCTATGGCGCTGCCCTCAGCAGCGCCCTTCTTTCCACACGACCGCACGTGCACAGCACGTTGCCCCAGCGCTAGCAGCAGCCCGCGAGCGTCCACTTCAGCAGCGCTGCTGCAAACTGGAAAGTGCCCGAATGACCCGCCAGGCAGCGAGCTCTTTCCTATATGGAAAGAGTCTGGCCTGGCCTGCGGCCTGGCTGGGCTGGGCCTGCACCCAGAAGCTCCCGGTAGTTGCGCCTCCCTACTGTCTGTGTATATTGCTGTGAATGTGGCCCAGGGCCTGCCTTTCAGAGAAGGCCTAGAAGGCCGTGGAAAGTCTTTGCTGCTTGGGACCTGGGTTCCCTCAACCAACTGCCGCGACACAACTGCCTGAACCCCAAATACGAAATTAACAGCATTGGGCCTCTCGTGATTTGTTAGTCCCTCCTTCACTTAGGGCGGGCACACTTGTGTAAGGGGCCCCTTTTTGCCTGTCGAGGAGCCAAATCCTCGCACAACACTATTTTGTCCCCGCGGCCAATATATGGGAAGGGTACGGGTGGCTTAAAGCACCACGACTGGCAATGAAATCCATAAGCCATGGCGGTGTACACGTTTGCCACATGGCAGTGAGAGCAAAGTGCAAACTTTTGAGTGCGCCAAATTTGGATGATCATGTTTCTCGACAGTAAGTACTGAAAAATGACAGTGAGGTAGTTTGAGGGCTAAACCCTGCTACCCCCTGGTGAACCCATTTCGCACAAAGCTCTTTGGCTCAGTGCTCAGGTTCACAGAGAGATTTAGGGGAAGCAGTAGATAAAACAAAAAAACGTCAACAGAACCCCCCCTCAAATAGGTGCCCAGATGCCTGGGCACAGACCGGGGGAGAGAGACAGAACGAGAGATAGAGGGCGGGGGGGGAGAGGGAGACGAGCAACAGCCACAGAGAGAGAGAGAGAGAGAGAGAGAGAGAGAGAGAGAGAGAGAGAGAGAGAGAGAGAGAGAGAGAGAGAGAGAGAGAGAGAGAGAGAG